TCGATGGTAGATGCGCTGTACTGCCAGCTGGTGAGCTCACGAGCCCCAGCGACTGGCCTGTGATTGTGTCCGAAGTGCCATGCAGGAGGTTGCCCGTTGCAGAGGCTCGGGGTGAGCTTGTCGGGCCAGCGCTGCTCAACGTATGGTAGCTGCCGGGCTTCGCTGGAAGGTGGGCTGGACGCGCAGGTAACGACGCAAGACCTCGCGGTGCGGCCGATGTGGCACCTAGACTTGACCCGCTCGTCGAAGCTCGTGGCGAGTCGACCAAATTGCTGGGCTTGATCGGCGAAGAGCCTGCGGATGATGGATGCGCATTTGGTGTTTGGGCAGATGGGCCAGATCCGCTACCAGAGTATTGCTCCGCAAGTTCGCTTCCTCCAACCGACTCGCTATCCTGATTGGACGGATTAGAGAGAGCAGCAGCTGCTGCCGCCCATTTTCTTCGACGTTCTCGCATCTTCTCCGCGGAAGCCACGAGACTGTCCCTGGAAGGCTGGTGGAGGGTGAAGCCGAGGTACAAAGCAGCGATGGCGATCAAGTGAGGCGGATACAGCAAGCCAATGTCGGTCCGATAAGTGTCGTTCAACACAAACCTGTCCATGACGGGCAACCGACTGACGCTTCAACAAGCGGAGCTAGCGCAGCCCCAAACCCAGCCGCGTCACTCACCACGCGTACTGTAGCGCAGCGTCATCTAGCTCTGGCAGTCTCGCAATAGGCTGACCATCGTCGCCCTTGGTGAGGGCGGCCCTATCGGCTTCCCAAGCTTTCAACTCGGTGTCGGAGAATGTGGAAGCGTAGCCATCATTCTTCGCCGCATCACCCAATCGGGCATGTTCAGATTCCACATCCATACCCAAGCCAAGGCCAAGACCCTCCTTTCCTGCTGTGTGTGTGTTCAGATCCATGCCTATCGATCCACTAAAGTCATCATCGAGCTTGCTGAGTGCGATTTTGCCCACATTGTTGGAGAATGTGAGGAGCACCCTGTAAGGATGATGAACAATGAGATGGAAGTCTAGGTCCTCCAGCAGATAGAACTCCATCTGCCCAAGCGAAGAGACGTCGGAGGGGAAGCTTGGATGACCAAGCTCTGCGCGGGACAGAAGTTGGCAGCGTCAGTGGAGTATTTCGACGCGTTTGCGTTTGCAACTGTGACGGTGCAGCCATGCCGTCGCGTTTTGCTCACCGCTCCACAGCTTGGCTGCCTCCGATGCCACTACCCTGACGTGCACCGGCGTCTCTTCGATCTTGGCAGCGATGTAAAAGCAAGCTGTAGCGACCATGGCAGGGTCCGTGCTGCAGTACGAGTTGCCTATTTTGGCATAGAAGCGCCTAAAGAAGATGCAAGCAGTGGCAGTGACTCGTTGTCGCTGCGATAGCCGCTTGGTCAGAGCTGCGATGGCTGTGAGCGCAAAGATGAGGGGGGGAGCGTTAGCCCGTGAGGCAAGCAGCGTGCAGCTCTACCCTTTTGCTTCTGCTCTCCTCTCACCATTGCAAATCCAAATGCCTATCGCAGCTACATCGTCTGACGAGTCTGCGTAACGCAGATCTTCAGCCCTGGCAGTGATGAGCTGCGATCTGGTGAAGAGCCAGTGGTTGCTGCATGGTGCAGGTGTTGGGGTACAGCCACAAGCCTGGTCAGTCAGACGATCGCGAGGCAGAGACGCAAAGAGAGACCCATGCACGCATGCAGCCGCCTTGACTGACCATTGGGAGGATAGCCAGTAATCAGAGGCCATGACTGCAAGTTGCGCAAGTCGCGATTTTGGTGCCGTGACGACTTGCTGCCCCTCCCTGCTTCTAGCATTCCAGCTCTTGGCAATGGTAAATGTTTACATTACTCCATCGTAGACCTCAAACGATGACGAATGGACACAAATGGCAGACGTTGATGCAGGCGTTGGATGCTAATGTCGCCTCTGCAAGAGTAGGGGGAAGGAGGATGGAAGCAAGGATGGATATGTGATGAAGCGGTCACTCACCACTCTCGCCAAAGCATGCACCGTCATCAGGCTGCTCCATCCATCCATCCATCCATCCATCC